AAAAAAAAAAAAAAAAAAAAAATGTGACAGATATGGTGAATACCCGTCATGATGCTGGAATCAGCAAGAAAGCCACTAAACTGAGACTAATTTCTGTGATCAAAGGATAGAACCTTGGAAAACAGGGCTGCCAGACGCCACCGACCCTCTCTGAAGTGGAAGTGGACTGACATGCTCTTCCGACGTCAGACTCAAGGGGGGACAGGTTCCAAAGTGTGCAGCCGGAAGTGCTGGTGCCAAAATGACTGAGGGGGAGGCTGCTGCTTTCAGAAGCTGGTGCTTGCAAAACAACCTTCCGGGAAGAGGAGCATTTGGAAAGGGAGGAATATACCTTCTCCTTGGTTGTTCTACAGAGTTTTAGGAAAACCTGTTAGGGATGGCTAGCTGTCAAGACCCTGCCTTAGGCAGTCATGCAAGTCTTTAGCCATCAGTTGGAGGTTCTTTACACCAAGCTGTTTACATTCCAAGAAGTGTCATGAAAAAAGTTCTATTAAATAAGATTTCGGAATGCTAAAATAAATAAATAAACAAATAAATACCTTCAGAATGGGGAAGACTAGTGAAAGAAAAATGTGAAATATCCTTCATGGTATTAAGGAATAAAAAATTATTTGTATTTAGATTTAATGAATGTAAGTTTATTATGAGCTTTATTTACAGTAAATAATTTCCACTAAAATTAAAGAGGCATTGGTCTTATCATTCTTTACCTTTATACTCACTCTTTTCAGCAAACAATATGAACAAGCATCTTAAACCTAGAAATTGTCCCCCAGCTATGACAATTGCTCTCCTTCCTGGAATTGCCTTTCCTATGTGTTAATTTCCTCCGTGCAAAAGCTTTAAGAATGTTGAAGATACCCCTAGGAAAGCTCATTTTAAAAGGCTTGATTTTCACAGCCCTCTTTGGCATTAGAAGCTTAAGAGATATCCTAGGGCTGGGTTTCTCTCCAGGTTTTAGGAGCCATCCGCAAAAGCTGGGTGAAAATGCAGATCCATGGAAGCTAGTTCAAACCCATCAGGTCTGTCCCCAGGTAATGTTTATACGACCACAGGCTAGAACGGGATAAGGTTAAAAATATTCTACTTCTCTACTGTATCAGAGACGTGGGAGTTTTGAAATCTCATTGCCCTGTAGAGAACCACAGCCCAGAATGTGCAAAATGAAAGGCACCTAAGAGTCGTCTAGGGTGGTCGTTTTATTCTGTGAAGGAAGAAACAAGATGATTAGCCCAAAGCCACACAGATTGTTAGCAGCACAACCAGCACAAGACTGAGCAGGAGACGGGGCTCGGGTGTTGTGACCCCCAGCGCAGTTTCTTCAGCTCAGTTAGGGCAGAATCAGCTTGACTGGGCACCACTGAAATGTATGCTACATCCATACATCATTAGATGGAACCTCCAATTTTAGTTCTCATTATTATTTTTTATTTTACATTTTATTTTATTACTTTTTGAAACAGGGTCTCGTGCTGTCACCGAAGCTGCACTGCACTGGTGCAATCACAGCCCACTGTCTATTTTTCTTTTATTTTGTTTTATTTAATTTTATTATTGTTTTTTGAGACAAGGTCTCATGCTGTCTCTGAAGCTGGATTGCAGTGGCGCAATCACAGCTCACCGCAGCCTCGAACTTCTGGGTTCAAGCAATCCTACCACCCCAACCCCCCAGTAGCTGGGACCACAGGCAGCCAACCACCACGCCTGGCTAATTTTTTAATTTGTAAATGTTTTTGTAGAAACAGGGTCTCACCTTGCTGCCCGAGCTGCAATTTTAGTTCTATATAAATACAGTAATCCTGGGAAAAGAGCGAGGAGCTATCCTGGGGAAGGGATTACTGTAGAGGTGATTTTTTAAATTTTCTCCACTACAGCTCTTCCACATTTACTCACATAAATCTGATGTTTAATATTTAGTCTCCAGAAAGTATTTCATGATGTCTTTTAAAATATGATGTGTGTACTAAGAAAGCTTACGTCCGTATTTGTAGAACTGATTATTTCCCCTTTTCTTTGTGAGGACTCATGGCTCTCTATTCATATTAAGAATTTCCTAAATGCTGCAGTTCTTCAACTAAACAATTTCAGTAGATAGTTTCTTTTCCTCCCCTTGCCCACCTTTCTCTCTCTCACTTTTTACTTCTAGTGCTGGAAATTGGCCAGCAGAATTATTTATGGCTCTTAGTTCCCATCACATCTTAATAATAAACAGAAGCAGTTTTCCTTTGTTTTAAAATTTCAACAGTACAGTAGTTAAAAATTGGCTCCCATCAGAAAACTCTTTCTCCGAGTCTAATGTGCTATGCCATGTATATACATGATTAACCAGTACAGTACGTACAGCAAAGAAACCAGGTGAGAGATTTATTGATTCTGGCTGAAACAAATTGAACAGTAACCTTGAACACTTTGTGAAGTCCATAATTGAGTTCCACAAATCAACTTTGGAGCCAGTTTAGCATGTCCATTTAGTTGAGGCAAAGAGCCTGTGTTTGATCTAACTTAATAAAGTAATTCCAGTGTAAAAAGTAGGTCAAAATGACTGCCTTCTAAAATTCAAAGTTCCTTTTTTCACTAAGAGAAATTATATTTATTTCAAACAGAACAAATGATACTATATTTGGTAGACTGATATTTTCTTAGCTATCTTAAGGGTAACTTCTACTGACTAATTCTTTGGGATAGTCTTGTGGGATTCATGAGTGTCCCCAAGTTCAGAGCTGATTTTAAGCAAAACTCAATGACTCGGCCCTTCTAGCAAATTATCTTGCTTCTGATAACTCAAAATTCAAATTGAGACTGTAAACTATAACATAGAAGTATTTAGTGTAGTGATATTATAAACAGGTATCTGTCCCGCCGATAGTCACCCCATGTGAGTTAAATATGCCATCTGACAATATTAAGAAGCTATGTCTTCTGAAATTAAGTGTAAGCTTTAAAAAATGTGAATAACTAACCAAAGAGAAGCAATCCATTATGACAAAGTATTGCATAATAAACTTTGTTTTATAACAAAAAAAAATGTGAATAACTAGATTAGTATACAAAACAGTAATTATGAAACCTTCTCCCACCAATTCACTTTCTGAAATCAGAAATGGAGAGCTAGTGTGTTTATAAGCACACGTGAGTAATTACAATAGCACATACACAATTTTTAATTCAAATTTGTTTTTGCTTTTTGTGGGTTTTGTGTCTTGTTTGGGAACCATAAAATAAAATGACTAAGTTCTCCAAAATATAGGATAATAAAAAAACCCCAAATGAGTAGAAGTTATTCATTCTGACTGTAATACATTATTTGGTTTTGGTAGAAAAAAGTCTTCATAAATTTAAAAACTGAATAGTAAGGCCTTAGTTAATCACTTAACATTAGAACTCCTATTTTCTCTTCTAACAATTGGTTCCAAACAGAAATAAGACCACAATCAGTTTTAGAAAAATGTTTCCCCTTTGAGGAAGGAAGAACAAATAAGATGTTTAAACTGCAGTTGGTAAAATCATTTGCTAACCCTCTGCATGGTAATGATGCCACATCACCTGAACTTTGCTGTCTTGATTTATGCAGAAGCGACAGTGTTCTTACACCCAAGTAGAGCTCTCTAGCAATTTTCACCTTTTGGCATATTGTTACAGACACTCATGGTTAAATAAAAACAATCTGGCTGGTATAAAGCTCAATTTGCAGAGAAATAACTACTGTATTCTCTTTGTCATGAGTCCGCAGGCACCCAAAGAAAACCTTTTCACACAGAACATGGCTATGCGCCTTTTAAATCCATTTGCAAAATAGTTTCTTTTCTTACATAAAAAGGTGAACTATTTACTACTGATAAAAATTTCCTCCTACGCAATTATTTTTCAGGCTCATCCAACCCCACTCTTACTCAGTATTAGTGAACATGAAACTAAATTCATCTGGAATACTTCACTAAATCCCAAAATGAACAGAGTGGATGCTTGATAAAAAAAATACTAGCCCAGCGGGGCGCAGTGGCTCACACCTATAATCCCAGCACTTTGGGAGACCGAGGAGGGTGATCACCTGAGGCTAGGAGTTCGAGACCACCCTGACCAACATGGAGAAACTCTGTCTCTACTAAAAATACAAAATTAGCCGGGCGTGGTGTCACATGCCTGTAATCCCAGCTACTCGGGAGGCTTAGGCAAGAGAATTGCTTGAACCTGGGAGGCAAAGGTTGCAGTGAGCCAGGATCACGCCATTGCACTCCAGCCTGGGCAACAAGAGCAAAACTCCATCTCAAAACAAAACCAAACCAAAAAAAACTAGCTCATACGTAAATAAGGAAACAAGGGTTGTATGTTAAGTGGATTTTCTTTCATCCACGTGATTACCCGAATGTCATTTTTAACTTGGTTAACTTTAGGTAAACTTATCTCTCTCTTTCTCTCTCTCTTTTTTTAAGTTCATGAGCATTCCTGCACAAACCTTAATTGCCATTTTATTTTAATAAAACTGAGAGAGAGTGAAAACTCATGTTACCCATTCCATGCAGGAAGATGGGAAAAAAGGAATCTTGCCATTCAGGATTCTGAATTGATATGTACAATGTCTTAGGCAAAAGCTCCTCCAGAAATATCTATGAATTCAGGTTGAACTTAAGACACAAAATTACAGATAAAGGTTAAAATCAAACTCGTCAGATGTTAACATTATCCTGACTACTCATAAATCAATTCATTTATGTGCTAGAACATTTTTCTACCACCTGCCCTGGAGGAGAGAATCCATTTACTGCAAATGTGGAACGTACTGCATGGGGGAGGGGAAGGGAACGAGAGAATCCTGACTGGTTCTATGCAAAGTGGCTGCACCTTTCAACCCGTTTCCAATTTCAAACAAGACTTTTAATATGTATGTCTTTGGATTGTCTCTGATTTTTTTTTTTTTTTTAAAGACAGGGGTTTCACCATGTTGGTCAGGCTGGTTTTGAACTCCTGACCTCAGGTGATCCGCCCGCCTATCCAAAGTTCTTAGATTACAGGCGTGAGCCACCACGCTTGGATGGTCTCTGATTTTTAATTTTTGAAATGACTGCTGTATTAAGATATAATTCACATACTAATTTACTCATCTAAAGTGTTCAGTTCAATGATTTTTTGGTATATTCAGACTTGTGTAATCATTACCATAACCATAATCAAGTTTATAACACTTTCATCACCTCAAAAAGAAACCACATACATTTTAGCCATCACTCCTTAACCCTTTTTTATCCCGTGGC